TCCCCCCCCGCACCTCCCCAAACCCCACCCCCTAGCCCCAAATATAATCCACTCTACAACCCTCATTGCATACTCCTACGATAAAAATAATGCCCTAAAATATAATACTTTTAGACTATTCTCTCCCCCTAGACTTCAATGCCGTAAACATATTACATTTTAAAATTATCTCTTCTGTAAATCTAATGTTTTTGCGATGTTATCTTAAAAGTTAGAGAGAGACCAGTTGGCTTAGTGGACCAAAAGTGATACTACCAAGCCGAAAGTGGATGACTCTAATCCGCGGCCCTCAGGCCTGTTTTTTCTTTGTCTTTGATCAAACATTCATCTAGGTCATATAGCCCTGGTGTGTCCACTTGCTGTACAGATGTAACTTGTGGTTGCTGTGAAGCTGAACATTGTGACACTGATATGTCAAACGTGATGATGATTACCCTTGGTGGACGGTGTTGGGTGGAGATCTCCAATTAAAACAAGCTTGGAAGCAGGAGTGGCATCCACTTCCATTAACAGCTTGCCTCCAGAAACCCTATGAACCTGGAGAAAGGATGAAAGTCCCGCAAGTGTTGAGGACTGTCGTTCATAGGTTCACTTTGAGTCACCTACGACTCAAAGGCACTTAACAGCACAACAATAGTTTAAAAGTTGGAGCTGAAGCCGTTATGTTAATCCCCTCGGGTCTCCAGCTACCTTATCTGTAGACACATGGTCTAGCAAATCATTAATAGCTGTGGGATTGGAATAAGAGAGAAATTACTTCCCACACTGAGCAGACAGACATGAGAGAGACTGGAACAAGACCTTGATGAGAGAGAGACTAGAGCGACACCCTGGTAGGGCAAGAACCTAGTGACAAGACCCTTGTGATGGTGGTAGAGAGACTGTGGCATTACTGTGGAGAGACTCTGGCAAAGTGTAACGTGAGGCTTCTTGCATTTGTGTTGGTCACAATTAAAGGTTTTGTTTGCCAGGTCCTTGAAGGAAAAGCTGTCTTATAACTGCTCTTAGGCAAAATTTGCTGTATGATTGAGGAAACTGAGACTTCTTGAATGTATTGCTGAACCAAAACCAGGCCTTTTACTAATTAATATATTGTGTTTTGCTGTTAATCTGGCTTGGGACACTGGGCTAAACCTGGACTTGTATTGTGAAATATTTTTTGCCTCTCCCACTCCCTACCCTATTTCCCTAATAAACCCCATTCTTGGTACCACAACTGTGAATAAAGTCTGTGAGCCAACAATGAATATTGAACCAAGTGATTGGTAGAAATAGATGGAAGAGCATGGAGGTTGGTTTGTCTCACCTACAAGCTATCTGCTGCCATGAATAATATTGATGGAGGAAGTTCCCCTTTTTGAAGAGGGTAAAAGTCAGACATTGCCTCCTTTAATAGTTATTTAATTTTTTTTTAAATTTCACAGCCCTGGAATAGAAGAATATATTTCATTTTACTATCATACTTGGACCTAGTTAGATTGTACCTTTGTAACATCACTACAGTGAATTTATAGCTTTACAATTACCAGAGAAAATTATGCTTCATAGGGATTTTGAATTTTATTTGTTATTGAATCCACTCCTAGTCATGATAACCCCATGCACAACAGTGTTGCCTGTTGTTGTTGTTATGTGTCATTGAGTCACCTGTGATTCCCAACGATCCTATGTACAGCAGCTTTTAATCTTGCCCTATCCTATCCTGAGCCAATCTCATTGTCTCCCACACACCTACCCCATTAACCTAGTTACTGTGTCAATCCATTTCTTATGGGTTCTTCCTCTCCTGTCTTGCATTCTTTTAAGCATGCTATTATTCTCCAAGAACTGGTGCCTCCTGGTTACATGTCCAAAGCCTGTGAGACAGAGCTTCAAAATCCTGGGCTTCAAGGAACAGCCTGATTTCACCCTCTTCAGGACAGACCTGCTCTTGGTGATCTGTGGTTCAATACTCTTCTCCAGTACCACAACTCAAAGGCATCTGTTCTGTCACTCCTAGTCATTGTCCAGCTCTCTGATGCATAGCAAATAATTGCAGACCATGGCCCAAATCATGTGCATCTTAGCCTTCAGTCTGACATTATTGCTCTTTTGCAGTTTAGAGAGATCCCTGACAGATGCTTTTTCCAATGCAATTTGTCTTTTGATTTCCTCACTTCTGGTGCTAAGAGTGTTGATTGTGAATCCAATCAAGCTGAAATTGTTAACAACCTCAAAGTATCTTCTCCATCTGTCATCATACTGTCAACTGTCCCACTGAAAATCTTGGTTTTTTTGATGTTGAGCTTCAATCCACATTGAGGACTGCAGTCACTTGACCTTCTGCAGCAAATGCTTCAGGTTCTTCTCAAATGCTTCATGTATTGATTATGGACACAAGGAAGATTAAATAATTGACAATTTCAATTTTCTCTCCATCTTCCATGATAAGTGTTGCTTATTGATTTCTCTATCACAATGTTTGTTACTTATTGGTGAAGATTTTTGTCTTTTTGATGTTGAGATGAAATTCATACTGAGAGTTGTAGTCTTTGATTTTCTGCAGCAAGTACTTCAAGTCCTCCTCACTTTTAGCAAACAAGGTTGCACAAAACAAATTGATGTGTTTTCCTCTGATCCTGATGCCACATTCTTCTTCATAGATTCAAGCTTCTCAAATGATTTGCTTAACATATAGGTTGAATAGATATGGAGAAAGATTACAACTCTGACACACATCTTTCATGATTTTTAACCTTGCAGTGTTCCCTTGCTCTGTTCACACAGTTGCTTCTTTATCTAAGTATAGGTTTCTTGTGAATATTATTAAATGTTCTGGGATTTCCATTGTTTTCAAAGTTAGCAATAGTTTGATATGATCCACACAGTCAAATATGTTTCCTTTTTTCATTCATAACAGCTTCATAATATTTACATAATATCCCAAACTGGAAAATTCTAGGTGTCCCTCAGTAGGAGAATTAAGTTTTTACAAATATTTTAGAGTATTACTAAGTAATGTGGTGTTGGAGAAAAGTAGTGAATATACCACGGACTGCTAAAAAACAAGCAAATCTGTCTTGGAGGAAATGTATCCAAAGTATTGCTCAGGGTGGCAGAACTTTGTCTCAAATACTTGGTCATACGTGGGCAGCCCAGCAAGAGGATGGCCCTCAATGAGAAGGATTGACACAATGGGCTTGAGCACGAAGGAGATCATGGGATGTTGCGGGATCAGGCAAGATCTGTTGTTTGTAGAGTCCCTATGAGTTGTAATTGACTTGACAGCACAAAATAACAACAATAATAGCTCTGTTTGAAAACTAAGGTGCAAAAAAGAACAAATATTGCATAGCACCACCACTGTGTAAAACAGGACTGACATCATGATTGAGGGAAGATGGAAAAGAAGGAGAGGAATGATGTATATTGCATTGAAACAGATGAGGGAGAGATCTGTTTAAAAGGGACATATGAATCTGTATTCTTGTCATTACAGAAGTCCAGAGTGAAGGCTGAATAGTGGAGTGACCTTGGAGGGAGGAATTTCATAACAATGAAAGAGTTTTTCTTTTACTTTTCAAGAAGAGTGATTTGGAGGGAGGGGGTGGGCAGGGAGAAAAGTGCAACAATGAATGGCTGGAAATCCTAAGTCTCTGTAAACTTTCACTAAAATTTATAAATAAATTTTAAAAACAAACAAACAAACAAAAAACCCCTAAGGTGCACTTGGCCCAAGCTTTGTATTTTCTGTTACATATGCTTGTGAAAATTGTACAATGAATAAGGAATACTGAAGAAAAAATAATACCTTTGAATTATTATATTGTCAAGGTGTGTTGAATATGTTGTGGATCCTCAAAACAACAAATTTGTCTTAGAAGTGCAAGCAGGGTGCTTCTTAGAGGCAAGGATCGTCATATGTATTCTTGGAAGATGAAGGGTCATCAAAAGGACAAGAACTTTGGTGATCTGGATTGACACAAGCCTGCAGACGGCCCAGTTCATTAGTAACTTTCTTTGTACTGTTTTTTTCCTGTATTTTTCTAGAATTGATTTTGAAACTACCTATAATTTGCATCTAGATATCATTTAATCTTTTCTACCTCCCTTTCACCCCTAATAGTTATAATCATCTGGTGTGTGTTTGTCCTCTAGAATTGCAGATGACAAGATCTGGCCGACCAAATACTGATGCAGTCCTGGTTTTTGTGCTGACCATAGGAGTCATTATCTGTATATTTGTGATCTTTGTATTGATCTTCATAATTATAAACTGGTAGGTGAACAAGCCATCTTCACTATGGCACCATTGGTTGATATCTTCCCTTCTCTTTTCCAAAGAAGAGGAAAGCCTTGTTCATCATGCTTCCTGTATGGATTATGAAATGTCCCACTTCATTCCTTCTTTCTGTGACTGTTTTAATTCAGGTTGTCCTAACTCTTACATGGGTATTTTTTTAAAAACATTTTCATGCTTTGTATTCCTAGCCATAAGAAGAAATTTGGTTGCAATTTTTACACTTTTACATTATAGTTGTTTTAAAAAATGCATTGATTATTTATATGTCTAATTATAATTCTCATAACTCTGCAACTTGTTTTAGCCAACTAATTAATTTATGTCAGGATATGTATAATAATTGAAGCATTAATATTATACCCTAGAACATTTGAGGTCCATCTACTATTGCATTGCATCTGAGACACTACAGAAAATATCATGAAAAACAGGTGTCTCAATATAGAAATCCTAAATATAAATATGATTTTAATTTTAACTTCAACTAGTGTTTTGGTGTTTTTTTTTTCCTTCCAGGGCAGCCATCAAGGCCTTATGGGGGGCAAAATCCTCAACAACTGAGATACAGTCTGAGTTTAGTTCTATGAGATACAAAGATTCAACTTCTCTTGACCAATCACCAACAGAAATGCCTGTGCATGAAGAAGATAATTTAAGTGAATGGAATGAATGATACATAGATGATATATAACAACACAAAGGACATTACAGCCTATTGGATATGTTATTTTAAAAATAAAGTATTTCCTTAATTACTTTTATATTTTTGCAAGTGATTTTTAATAGTCTGAAGGCAACCCCAATGTGAGGATGAAGCTATTTTAACTTGTGAATCTTCATGGCAGAATGAACAAAAATTATAAGTACTTCTCATTATTTACCTTTCTAGGTAGTGGAGATATTCATATAGAGGTACAGTAACAAAGAGCTTTAAAATACATTTTCTTGGTCACTTCTATTTTCTTGTTCTGTGTTAAATAAGAAAATTAGAATATAGTAGATTCTTTATACCTTAAAATGTTTTTCCCACAGAGAACACTATATTAAATTTGTTAAAACAAATTACACTTTAGAATATCTACAGGTTATGTGTATGCTTCACTTGTTAGTCATGAATTAATAGCTTATTACATATGAGTTAGTAATCGTAATAAAAATAACAATCAACATTTAACCAGTGATTACTATGGAAGAAGCATGGCTCAAATAATTTTGTATGTGTGAGATAATTTAATTATATTTATGCATAAGAAATATGTGAAAGAATTGAGGAGTAACTTGGTATCAACTGAGGAAATGGTATGCATTTTATAGTCATGTATTTCTCACCAAATAAAGCAAACTCAAACTCATTGTCATCATGAGAAGTGACCATAGTTGAGCCTCCAGCAGGTTTTCAGAACAACCTGTAAATCACATGGAAGGAGACTGTTCATATTTCTCCCACATAGCAACTGGTGGGGTCAAATTGCTCAACTTAGGGTTGACAGTAGAACTTCCAATCTACTAGGCCACTAAAATTCCACAAGACCTTGTTCTTCTTGTTTTCTCATAACGACAATGAATGAAAGACTATTTTAAATACACTTGTTCAATTTTAATTGTGATATTAACAAAAGTTTACAGGAAAGTTAGATTTTCATTCATTCATTTTTGCACATTTTATGCCCTCCCCTTCTCCAAGTTCACTTTGTTGTTGTTAAGTGCTGTCAAGTAGCAGGCGACTCATAGTGACCCTATGAAGGAGTCCTTGACGCTTGGGTGCCTTTCATCCTCTGTCCGGGTTCATACGGTTTCTAGAGGCAAGCTACTATGGAAGTGGATGCCATTCCTCTTTCCAAGCTTGTTTTAATCGGGAATTCCACCCCACTCTCTGTCTGCATTGCGTAGCCAACCATTAACACATTTGACACATCAATGTCACAGTGTCACAGCAACCACAAGTGACCGCAGTACGATAACTTGTACACCAGGGCTATACGACCTAGAGGAATGTCTGAACAAAAACAATAAAAGACAGGCCTGAGGGCCACGGATTAAAAGTCACCCACCTTTGGCTTGGTAGATCGCTTTCTGTGGAGTCCTAGGAGGAGCAAACCTGGGAGATATGGCCGCCTCCTTTCCCCTCTTCCTCTTTTTGGGCTTGAAGCCTCCTGCTGCCTTAAACCCTAGGCCAAGCCTGGCTTGCCTGGCTCCTGGAGGCAGAGTAGTAAATTCACTTAAAAAAAATTAATTCATTTTTTTACAATAACCTCCCTCCTTTCCACTCCCCAGTTCTCTTTGCAATGTACTTCTTATTCTGGGCTGTTGTCGTACATGTTGTCATAACATGTTGTTGTTATGTGCTGTTGAGTTGCCTGCTATGTACAACAGCACTAAACTCTGCTCTATCTTATGCCAGTTTCACCATGTCTGACACACTTACCTGATTACCCCAGTCACTGAATCAATCCACCTCACAGAGGGTCTTCCTCTCCTGTGCTGTCCCTCCACCCTCCCAAGCATGATGTCCTTCTCCAAGGATTAGTCAGTTTCTCCTTGCAACATGTCCAAAGTGTCAGATGAAACCTCAGAATCCTTGCCTCCAAGGAGCAGCCTGGTTTAATCCTCTCTAGGATGAACGTGTTTGTTTTCTTAGTTGTCCATGGTATATCAATACTCTTCTCCAACATCACAGCTTAAAGGCTTCAATTCTCCTTCTATCCCCTCTAGTCATTTTCCAGCTCTCTAACACATAGCAAATGATTGCAAAGACCTGTATCAGGCACACCTTAGTCTCCAGAGTGACACCATTAAACTCCAATACTTTGGAGAGGTCCCTAACAGCAGACTTTCCCATCGTAATATGTCTTGTCATTTTCTGGCTGCTGGTGCCAAGAGTGTTGACTGTGGATATAATGCCTAATTATCCTTTTAAACAATTGTTTTCTTCATCTGTTCCAATGCAGTAGTCATAATTTATCCCCTCTTTTCTTCATTTCCCCCCACTCCATGTCAATCCTATTTTAGAACAGTGGTGTTATGCATTATTTGTCCTTTTGTGACTGAGATATTCACTCAGTATAATGTCCTCCAGTGTCACTCATGTTGTATAATATTTTATTAGTTCTTTGTTTTTCAGTGCTGCATAGTATCCCATTGTGTGAATTTAGCATAGTTTTCCTATCCATTCATTTCTTGATGGATGTTTGGGTTACTTCCATCTTTTTTTGCTATTGTGAATAACACAGCAATAAACACGAGTGTGTATATATCTGTTTGATTTACAGCTCTAGTTTTTTTAGGGTATATTCCTAGTAGTGAAATAGCTGAGTCAAGTGGTATTTTTATTTTCAACTTTTTGAGGAAATGTACTACTTTTGATAGTGGTTGCACCATTTTATGCTCCCACCAACAGTGAGTAAGGATTCCAATTTCTTTACAACAAGGCCAGCATTTGTTGTTTGCTACTCTACTGAACTTTGCTGTTGTTACTGGGATGAAATGATATCTCATAGTTATTTTTAATGACTCTGGTAAGTACTGTTGTGGTGCTTAGTATGCAGGCAATATCTTGGAGCCAAGGTCTTTATTTATGAAAATAACTTTTTTGTTATCATGTGACATGTTCTTAGGTGCCATTAAGTTAAATATAACTTATAAGGACCCTAGGAACAGTCAACCTGAACCCTGTCCTGTTTGTGCTATCCACATCATATCTGATATACTAAAGCTGAAGTTACCAAGTCAATACATCTCACTGAGAGCCTTCCTCTCCTTTGCTGACCCATCCTTCTTTTTAAGCATGAGGTCTTTTTCCAATGAATAGCTGCACCCAATTACATGTCCAAAGTATGAAAGATGCAGCTTTGTTAGCTTTGCCTCCACGAAGCACTCTGCTCTGGCTGTACTTGTCCAAAGGCATATCTGTTTGTTCTCTTAACAATCCATGCCATATTTAGTACTCTACTCCAATGCCACAACTCAAAGGCATCAATTTTGTTTTATGCTTATTCATTATCTAGCTCTCTGAAGTATAGCAGGTGATTGAGAAAACCAAGGTCTGAATCGGGCACACCTTAGTCTTCAAATGACGTCATTGCTCTTCAACATTTTGGAGAGGTCCCTGAGGAGAACTTGCTCAATGCAATACACCTCCAGATTTCCTGACTACTACTGTCAAGTGTGTTGATTATTGATCTAAACAAGATGAAATCATTGACAGCTTCAATACTTTCTCCATCTATAATAAAGTCTAACAAAACATTAAGACATTAAATTATTAGGTAGATTTTATGATTAGTTGCTATTTTTTTTTAACTTGTGTGCCATCAAATCTGACCCAGCTGGTACAGAAGGAGATTGCCCCTCCTCCTCCAGCAGAGCATCTGGTGGATTTGAACCATGCACCTTTGGGATTGCAGAGCAGCTTCTTGCCACTAGGCCACCAGAGCTCCCTGAGGAATTACTATTGAGAGATTATGATAGTAGCATGAACTCTATGCCAACTTTGTTGCTATTACTATGGAATTTATCTAATCCTAGAATTAAATATTTTTATACGTCTAAAGAAGACATTATAAATGGATGTTTATGATATAGCTCCCTGTACTCAATTAGAGGCAAGGATGGTGAAACTTTGTCACACCTGCTTCAGGCATGTTGTCAGGAGAAGGTAATCTTTGGAAAACGATATTACTCTGGGAAAGGTGGAACATGAAGATCTCAACAAGATGGATTGACACAGTCACTGAGACAATGGTCTCCAGTACATCAGAGATGGTAAATATGGCACAGGATAGGACAAGGTTCAGATCTGTTGTTTATAGTGTCTCTATGAATCAAAATCAGCTTGAGATCACCTCTTCTCAACAATATCCATAAGCTGAGTTCCACCTGTAATTTTCAAGTTGGAACATTTAATTGTAAAGATATTCAGAACTTGTCTTTTGTGGGCCATTATCACCAGAAACACTCTGAGACCTTGAATCTCAGAGTGATGACCATCTGACACAGAACTTCTAGTTGACCAGCAATGAAGAAGTAGCATGAATGAGGACTAGAATTGTTATTTTTAAACTACTGGTTACCGTGGTTGTAGTACATAGGTGGGTTGTTATTTTTATATAAATATATTTTTTACTTTTATAGTACAACAAAATAAATGTATAAAACGTATTTAATGTCTTTTAAAACACATTTAATTAACATTTTAATACATTTTTTTTCTTTATAGTGACACTGTTGTAAATACTTTGTGAGGTGAGAGAAGACTAATTTTATGGGTCAAAGTGAAGAATCTTTAGTATTTCTCAATTTGTGATTCTCTAACAGTTCAATATTTGTCATATTGAATTCTGAAGCAATAATTCTATATAATGTCAAAATACCATGAGCAGGACAGTCCCTGATAGGTCTTCTCGTGAACATCCAGTACTCACTGATCATGATGCATATTACTCAACAAGTAAATAATATGCTTTGACAGAAGTAATACCTTCTGTCCTAGATTCCTGGGTGTTACTTTGACTTTCAAAACCCACTTTGGTGGATTTCCTAGAAACCATCCTACTCATAAGACCAAGGATAATTTTTTAAGTACCATGCATATACAGCATTAGTGCAGGGGGATTATATACCAATGAGGGAATTTTTCTTTTACTTTTCAAAGAGAAAAGCGAACTGGGGGGTGGA